AACTTTAATCTACTAGTTTTGGTTTCGTTATGATGTTTGCTTTCTGGTCAGGTGACTACAATAAAATGTGAACAGCAGGAAAGATCCTAACCAGCAAACTCTGTTTTGAAGTTCATTGACTGCAGATTTAAAAAACACTCACTATAACTCTTCAATGTTTTCATTCCTTTCTTTTGCTCTTTCCTTCGAAGGTGATCGGAACACCACAGAGGCCTACGATACCCAATGCCATTTTGGTAACAGTCCCCATACTCCCAGTTCTCAGTTCCTTGCTCAGAGTCAACCTTCTGACGCCTCTCCCTGGTCATCAGGGTGAGTCTTAAACACATTCATTCAAAGAAGATGATTCTTAATGTTTGACACATCAGTCATAGTGAGTGATATTGAGGGTGTCTGTTCACAGGAAACGAGGTAAAAAAAGGAGAGAAGAATGGAAAGGGCTTAAGGCATTTCTCCATGAAAGTGTGTGAGAAGGTGCAGAAGAAGGAGTAACCACCTACAATGAAGTGGCAGATGAGCTGGTTGCAGAATTCAGCTCTGCAGACAACCACATGTCACCCAATGACTCGGTGAGTGCCACAACTGCACAACATTTTCTCAGAGATGAGAGCTTATGTAGGACCTTACAGAAAAATGGAAAATAGGAAAAAGGGAATATCGTGCTGTATACATTTTCCTGAACATATTCATGTTTTGTCCTCTATTTTAGCATGTGTATGACCAGAAGAACATTCGGCGGCGTGTGTACGATGCACTCAATGTGCTCATGGCCATGAACATTATCTCGAAAGAGAAGAAAGAAATAAAGTGGATAGGCCTTCCCACAAACTCAGCGCAGGAGTGCCAAAACCTAGAGGTAAATAAACTTAGATTTATTACTAAATCTTTTGTATTTTTCACATTGTAATTTTCTTTTGTTAGAATTCTATGTCATCATTCCTGTCCTTTTTTACTTGTAGGTGGAGAGACAAAGACGGCTGGAGAGGATTAAGCAAAAACAATCACAGCTTCAGGAGCTCATACTACAGGTGGGTGAACAGATTCCTTATACTTGTGTTTTTATCTGGAGAGAGGCTCTAATTAAATCACATGTTTAGTTATAAGGCTGTAGTTTTCACTGCTGTTGAACCTTTGAGAGATGCGTCCAGCATTCCTCCCCTCTCCTGTATTAGGGATTGGAGGAAAAATATATGCAAATATTCTATGCAGCAATACTATATGGCTACAAGGATGCCAAATATTGATCTTTAATTATGTAAATGATCATGGGAGTATAGCGCTTTCCAATCTCCTCTTTAGGGAGAATTATTTGTGATAAATTCAGTGAGTTGAATTTAAGTTCAGTTGGATGGTTATAAAGTTAGTTAAAACAAAGAAGGACTTCTGTTGAGGTATTTCAAATTTAAAAGATATTAATTTTAAAACACCCCAGCTGTTGAAGATGCTGTCTAACTTTTTGCATGAGTTTAATTTTGTTAAAATATTGAGTTGTGTTGCACTATATATGTAAATTTCTCCATTGTGAGATGAATAAAGGATTCTCTTATCTTATCCTATATCGATTTAAACAAATTTATGTTTGAACACCTGCCATTAAGGCTGCATGAACTTGACAAAGTGTTGTTGGTTTGCTTCACAATCAAATATAGCTGCAATAAAATTACTGAAGTCAAATAAATTGACTATTTTATCATTTAAAAATGAAAATACTTTCTCTTAGCTACATTATTTTCAGCGGTATTGATTTGTAATTAGGGACTTGTGTCCACAGAGTGTCTTTAATGTGCTGGCAGCGCCCGTTTTCAAAAACAAAACCGATGTAGTTCAGCGTTTTCAGCACACCTAACGGACATTACCGAGGGAAGTGGAACTTAACATTGGTTACCAGCAACAATGAGAGCTGGTGAGAAGCGCTAAGAAATGGAAGTTGTGGGTGCTGACAGCGCAAAAGAAGAAAAAAAAACCTGTCTCTGGACAAAGTACATGTGTACATGTTTATAACCCAGTAACGTGTTTATAACCCAGTAACGTTATATTGTGATGGTCTCTTATCAGTTTGCTCCTCTGGATCCCTGACCCTATCATTTATGCAAAATGGGAGGACAAATATTAAAGAAGTAAAGTGCATCGAGACATCACTTTCACTTGTGGTTATTTGAATACATCACTGATAATGTAAACTAAACCTGATAATTATCAACTTAGTAAAGGAAGTTTATGGCAGAGCTGCTATTCAGTTAACAGATTTAATCAGTGAACTGGACAGTGAGTGTAAATCTATGATGAATTTGGAGATGTAATAAATGTCAAGTGCGTTCAGTGCTTTGTAGTGGGGTAGACGATATGTTGAAATGTTTAGTGGGAGACATTTAGAGCACATCTGCTCTAACAACTGACATGTTCAGAGCTACCGAAGAATGATTCTTTTGAATTGTTGTTCTCTTAATCCAAACCGAAAGCTCTCTGCAGCTGCAAAGGTTTCAGCCCTCTTTGATCTTGTCTTTGCAGCAAATAGCTTTTAAGAACCTTGTTCAGAGGAACAGACAGACGGAGCAGCAAGCAATCAGACCTCCACCTCCCAACTCCATCATCCACCTTCCGTTCATCATCGTCAACACCAGCAAGAAAACGGTCATCGACTGCAGCATCTCTAATGACAAGTACGTGACTTCCCTTGCCCAATGTGCAGCACCTTTGTGTGAAAATGATGTTTATATTTAAGGCTCATGATGCACTTAAAACAAAAAGCATGATATTAGATAGATGGATAGGTACTTTATTGATCCTGAGGGAAATTTAAAGCATCCAGTAGCGGCATACAAAAACACACATGACAAGAAACATTTGTTACACTGCCCCCCCCCCCAATAAGTATATGTTAACCCGAACAAAGATTTAAAGAAATGCCTAGGCATTAGACATAGGCCAAATTCAAACTGTACAATTAAAACTTAGATGCATACCAGGAAAATGTAAACAACCTGTATTTTTCTTTTTTTTTATTAACCTTTATTTAACCAGATAAGAACCTATTGAGATCAGGTTCTCTTTCACAAGGGCGACCTGGCCAAGAGGTCAGCAGCACATGTCAAAAGAACAGTTACAATGAAGTGACAGTACAGATTAACAACATAGTGTTTTCAATAAAAAGAAAGTGTGCGAGCTGTGACACAACAATTTAAGATTTTAAAAACACAGGCACTGTTCAATGGTCTCACGCTGTCTGTCCCTTCAAGATAGAACGGAAAGCTCCCAGTGGAATAAGTTCAGGGAGTTTTAGTTCAGTCTGTAGAGTATTCCATGCCGAGGGGGCAGCAAAGTTGAAAGCTCTTTTTCCTAATTCAGTCCTTACCCGAGGAACAGATAGAACAAGTGTGGTACAAGAACGCAAGGCATAGCGACTGCTTGTTCTCTGCAATAAAGCACACAAATATAAAGGAATCAAGCCTAAAAGAGCCTTATCAATTAGGGTCAGCCAATGTGCGTATCTGCGTGCACTCAAGGAAGGCAAGTTCGATTTCAAATACAATTCACAATGGTGGGTGAGACGACTACAGCCAGTGACAAATCTCAGTGCCCAATGAAAAATAGTGTCCAAGGACTTGAGACATTTGGATTACGCACTCAAATAAAGCACGTCCCCATAATCAAGAATGGGCAAGAAGGTCGCTGTTACTAATTTCTTTCTGACCCTGAGAGAGAAGCAGGTTCTATTTCTTAAAAAGAACCCAAGCTTCATACGAAGTTTAGTTACCAGATTATTGATATGAGCTTTAAATGAAAGCTCCTGATCTAGGATAAAACCCAAGTACTTGTAGTTTAAAACTTGCTCTATAGGTTTTCCTTTAGATGTTAGAATATTTGTAATGTTCTGGGGTAGCACCTTTTGTATGAGGGAAAACCATGAGCTTGGTTTTATCTGTGTTTAAAACCAACTTAAGATCATATAAACGAGACTGGATAACATTAAAAGCAGCTTGTAAAAACTCAAAAGCCTGGATGAGTGAGGTTGAACAGCAATAAATAATGGTGTCGTCTGCATAAAAATGAAACATTGCATTTGACAAGTTATTACAGAGATTGTTTATATAGATTGAAAATAAAATGGGTCCCAGCACTGAACTTTGGGGCACCCCTTTAGTAATGTCCAGGAAGGAAGAGGTAGTTCCAGCCACCTGAACACATTGTGTTCTGTTGGATAGATAATTGGCAAACCAGGCAGCTGCATGTTTAGACAAGCCAGTGTGATGTAAGGCTTGTATCAGCAGGTTGTGGTCTACTGTGTCAAATGCTTTTGACAGATCAATAAAAAGAGCGGCACAATATATTTTGCTGTTCAGAGCTTCAATTAAACCGTTTAGGACCTTCAGCCCAGCTGTAACAGTGCTTTGCTGTTTTCTAAAGCCAGATTGGAGAGGGGATAAAATATTATTTGATTCTAAAAATTCCTTTAGTTGGTCACTGATGATCCTCTCAAACAATTTAGCTAAAATACACAATTTAGAAATTGGTCTATAGTTATTTACATGTGTGGGTTCCAAAGGCAGACTTCCAGATTTTAGGAATTTTGTTGCTGGTAAGACTCAGGTTAAAAATATGTGAGAGAGGCTCAGCAATAAAATCAGCAGCCAACTTCAAGAAAAATGGCTCAATTTTATCAGGCCCTGCTGCTTTACTTGTGTCCAGCTTCTTTAGTGCATTGTTTACCTCAGTGACAGATACAGACATAAACTCAAACGGGCAAGTGATAGGTCCACTCACAGCCTGTGGAGTCAAGGGTGTGTTAAAACTAGCCAGACCAGTGGTTGTCAGTTCAGGGTTTAGTGACTCAAACAAGGATCCAGCGGAAATAAAATGATCATTAAAACAATTTAGTATGTCTGTCTTATCAGACAGTGTATCAGTTTGAGTAATTAAATAACTTGGTATGTCATTAGTTGTCACATGATTTGAAGATTTTATGACTTACCAAATTTTTTTAGGGTCATTTATATTTTTTATGGATTCATTTCAGACTTAGCACTCTTAATAAGGGAAGTACATTTATTTCTAAGCTGGCGAAAGCTGAGCCAGTCTACCTCTGTCTTTGTTTTCTGAGCCCTGGCCCAAGCAATGTCTCTCTCTTTGAGGAGGTTTCCAATTTCAGAGGAAAACCAAGGGTTTTTTCGGCCCTTTACCCTAAATTTTCGAAAAGGAGCATGTTTATTGACAATATGTCGGAATTCATCATAAAAGTATTCCAGAGCCAGCTCTACATCATCAAATAGAGCAACTCTACTCCACTCAAAGGCAGCTAAATCGTGCATAAAAGCTGAAATGCAAAAGTCTTATATATGCAAAAACATCTCTTTTGCATATAATGTTGGGCTTTGACTTGGGAAGCTTGGAGTTTCTTGTAGCTGCAATGGTACAATGATCACTCAGGTCATTTGCAAACACACCTGTATCCGTGTACTTGTGGGGAGCGTTTGTTAAGATAAGGTCAAGTAAGGAAGATTTTGATGGGTTTTTAGTATTTGGCCGAGTTGAGGAACTGATCAATTGAGTTAAATTTAGTGAGTCACATAACTTTTAGATTATCAGACGAGGCAGTCAACCAGTCAAGATTTAAATCACCAACCAAAAGAAGCTCACTGGAATTAAACCATGTGCAGGAATTAGAATAGAAACATATAAACAATTCAACAAAACAGCTGTTAAATCAGACCTGAGTGGACCTACAGCTGCACAGCAGAGTCAGCACCCTAGTGCACTTTTTAAATGAGTCTGTGCATTCTTTTTTGTAGTCTTGCTCATATTTTATTTGTTAAAATAAACAAGACATTAAAGTGTCTAACCAGAGGCTGTCTCCTTTAGACATCTGTGCAGCTGTAGTCCAAGAGCCCCTGTGTGCTCCCCCCCCCACTGCTATAACAGTGAGGTATTGTACAATCATATGGTCTTAAATGTTCACAACATCTTTGGCCTGTTTTGATTGAAACATTTGAAACAGCCAAATAAAGAACATCTATATTGTAGATATTGTTTTTTTTCCTCAAGAAAAAGTTTGGATTCCAGGATTATTATTGTAAAAATGATCAGAGAGGATTTCTACTGGTTGAGGAAATGAATCACCAGCCCATTAATGATAGCAAACCCGCCATATACAGGTAAATATGTTGACAGCTGGTTGCTATCAAGGTTGTGCTGCAGGGTGCGCTTCATACACATACAGACAGTCTAGAAGATGAACCAGCAGTTCAGTATGTATCTGTTGAGCAGCTGACTCTAAGGTCTAAAATGTGAACCTTTCCCCCTGGCATCTTAATGAAACAATAATGAATGCTCATTTATAAAGGTGGAAAAGAATCCTCAGTCACAACTCATTGAAGTCTTCGTTGAAGTCTTCAGGTATCACAACGTCTGTGGCCTGTTTTTATGGGGCTTACAACTGAACCGTGTTGCTTTCGTGAAATGGTTAACACATCTCATCCACGTAACATGATATCAAACCGACAGCATTTCACCGAGCTGGATGTCAATTTAAGAACAATGACAAACAAGAACTGTGAGGGGCTTCACCTTGGCATGGTTGTGTGCTAAAGACTACAGTCAACATTTGAAATGATTTTTATTTGCGTCCTTTTTTCTCAGTGACATAAAATAAATAGTAAAAAATCACTTTAGATTCCATTATCAGTTTGCATTGAATCAAATCAAAGGGCAACATATCAAATCTCAGACCCAATTGTTTTTTTTAGATCCTTGAATCTAGCTTTGAATCACATCATCCTGTAAAGGAGAGATAAATGCCCCTTGTAACCAACACATGCACTGTGTGTCTTACTCTTCAGGCCCCTGGCTGAGCTTTGATTATATATTTTAGGTTATGTAATGTGAAGTGTATTCAAAGGCCCAATAGTCACTTTTCTTCTACATCCACTGTCCTATGATACATATTAGGGGTGCAGAAATGCAAAATTCTGTGATTCTTTTCCCCCACGGGAGGCCCCGCCCCCAGCTATGACGCAATGCCGACTCTCTCTCTCTCTCTCTCTCTCTCTCTCTCTCTCTCTCTCTCTCTCTCTCTCTCTCTCTCTCTCTCTCTCTCCTGTTTGTAAACTGAGCACACTTCATAATAACAAAGCGTGCATGTGTTGTATTACGACGTTATGTACAAGAGGTAATCGTGCTTTTAGGCACGGATAGTCCTGTGTAGTGGCAGCCTGGGAATGGCACAGCGGGGGGGCAATCGTGCTTGAGTACAGCACGGTACAGATGACCAGTGTGACCGCGCCTAAGATGCCTTTGTATTAACATTCAAATATGACATTTCTTACATCAACAGACAGCAAACCTCAAATAAAAATTCACACAGACGTGTCTTATGACCGTTTTAACACTTTCTTATAATTAAGAGCAGTGAGTGTGGCGAGCGGACGTGCAGACATCAATGCACTCATCGCACGTTGAAGCTGTTTTGAGAGAAACATTGTGTTAACAATGACTACAGTCTGCAGTGTAGAGCACACTTTACTCTGGGAAATGAAGTTACAATAGAACAGGTGAACTGTTTCATCTTTCTCCTCTGTGCCTCATGACACACTCGCTCAATCTCGTTCGTCCGTCCGCTATGAGCTCTGTCTCCCTATAAGGTCGTTCCGTTTTGTAGTTATTAAAAGAATAATCATCTAAAATTCCAAAATATAGGAAAACATCGTGTTATGCTGCTCTGTCCTGGATGATCAAACGTCTTTGGTTTAGCGGAGTAAAGCGGTAATCGCAAAGTGAAAGTCCTTCTGTGGACTAAAAAGACAATTTGAACTGAACTTTCGTAGAGCATATTGCATATTTTGTTTGTTTGGGACTTTTTGTTCATTGTGAATTCATTGGGGGGTTAATTAAAGGGATATTTTTGTTAGGGTAGCAGCGTATGGATCAACAACGGACGCGTTTCAGCACAGAGCTTTTATCAGCACTTGGTCATCTATTTTCTTTTTGCGCTCATGCTCCTTTTTTTTCTGTTTTGAATTAGGCCGATCCTATAACCCACAATGCAACAAGAAACATTTACAAAAATGTAGACTACAAAACGATTATCGATTAAAAAAAATTTGTAACCGATTATTATTTAATGAACGAGTACCCGAGTACTCGTTTGCACCCCTAATACATATATATAGTGAATGTACAATGTGTATACTTGTATCAGTGTACATTTCCTGAACCTTAAGGATTGAGTGACATTTAGTATATATGTTGTTGAATATGTTTTTTTGTAGAAAACTTGATGTCACAACCTGCCTTAAGTTTTCTGTTCTCGCTCTTTCTCTCCTGCAGGTTCGAGTATTTGTTCAATTTTGACAGCATGTTTGAGATCCACGATGACATCGAGGTGCTGAAGCGGATGGGCATGGCGTGTGGTCTGGAGGTTGGGAAATGTTCTCCAGAAGATCTGAAGGTCGCACGCAGCCTGGTGCCCAAAGCTCTGGAGCCCTATGTTATAGGTCAGTGCACACAGCCCTGAATATACTGATTTACTCAGGTTTACTCACACAACTTTTTAAAACTCCTTTCTCTTATGTGCACACTATTCTTCTTCTTCTGATGTAAACTGAATGGTACCAGTAGAGGAAGAGAAAAACACATTTACTTGGGCTGCCTTTTAAATTGTAGGATGAGATTGGTGCATTGAATAAGAATTAGCAAGTTTTTGCATTGAAGTGGTATTGGGGGCATTTCTGATGCTGGAACAACGCTCCAATTTGCTCTCCAAGCCCTCAGTGAAATAACTGTGCCGAGGTGACTTGGTTGGGGGGTGTAGTCTCTACCAGCAGGTGATAAATATCTATTATTATTTTTGCTTTATTCTAGGATCTCTATTCAGAGAAATTCATAAAAAGCCAATTTGGGCAAAACACTTCCTAATAAAAAGGGACTTCAGGTTTATTTGACTGCTTGTATTATTCTTATTGGAGCTATAGAAATACGTATAAAGTGAATAAAACGGAGAATCTGATACATTGCTGTTACAAAGCACAGTTTAAGCCATGGCTACTTGAGAATTTGAAAAGGTTATTGTAAATTCCCTATTTTTTGCTGATTTGAACTGTGATATTTGTGATCTGTTACACCACCAGTGACTCTAGTGGAGTTGTATTTCTGCATGTTGATATCATCTTCTTTTTCCTAGAAATGGCCAAGGGTCCTATCAGTAACGTCTACATCACTGGAGGGTCCTCCGCCAATGGAACACGTTACCCTGCGAGCAGGTGAGCGGTCATTTCTGTAATAAAGCCTGTAATACGACCCAAGACTTTTTTTCACACCACTTCACTAGAAATGCACCAATTCAGGGATTGATGACCAGAACTGAGCACTTCTCAGCCTGTTCAGCTGTGATCGCTGACTGGCAGGTTCTCACATTTGTGAGCTGATTCTGAGCTGATCTCAGTGTTACACACACACAAGCTGCTCGTTTTATACCATGTGGACTATGACACTCACAAAAACAAGACAGCCACACTCACACAAGCAAACATGTTGGCTGTTCCCAGGACTTCCTCCCCCCCACTCACCGCCCAAGGTGCTGTCAATATGTATGTAGATGCTCTCACTGTCTCTCTCGTTGGCTCCCCTGAACTGGGGTACAGTATGTTAAAATATAATTAAATAATTATTGCTAATATATTTTGGTTATGGTGAAAACATTAGGAAAGGATAAAACCTCAGTTTGTGATTAAAGTTTGACCTGCTGTGAGACAGATTACTTTGCTGGATATGCAAGAGATTAATGCTTATTAATATACAACAGATATATAGCAGGATAAACAGCAAATCTATTTTTTTCAGAAGTCTGGAGAGTGCAGCCGAGTAAACTTCTCTCTGATTTATTGAGTTATATTAAGTAACAGCAACTAGGGACACAGAGACTACCAATAATTAATCTTTGGAATGTGAACCTACTAACTCTGGAATATGTTTTTTGTTTTTGTTTGTTGTACTTCCACTGTACATTTTATGGCATAAAATATCTAGAAATACAGGGAATGAAGGGTTTCACACTCCAGATCTTTTAGGGAGATTTGTCTGAGTAAGGAGTGATGGTCATGTTACCTGGTGAAGTTTTGAAGATTTTTTGTAATAAACAGTTAAAGGCTTTACATGCGTTTTTTTTTTTTTTTGATCCAGCAGATGTCGCCCTTGAGCACCAGCATGAAACCAAAACAACTCGCGCTGCATTGTTGTGTTAGCATGCTAATGCTAGTGATCTTTATTATGCTGGTATCTTCACACTGCATGTAAATTTACCTGAAATGAGCGTGATCTAGAAACACAGTTAAGCAGTGAGTACAGTATGTTATTCTTCTTTTCTCTAGTCCCTCAATTAAACAACTTTTATACTCGAGGGGAGGAGTCAGCCGGCCGTCCCGGCGATGTAAACAAAGTGAAGATAGGACTCGGGTGTTACACCCATTGTAGACAGTCATGACTCACAGAGTTATTTTCAGAGGATATACTTGATTTATGTTACATTTAAGTGTGAAAAATCACATATAAAGCCTTTAAGAGACTGTTTTATTTTGAAACACAAAATAAATTGTGATTAAAGAAAAGTTCCCAAAAAAAACATTTGTTGTTGCTGTCAAAGAAAATTAGAATCAGGCATCGTTGCTACCAGCAGGTCAGACCTTGAAGAAATTGCAACTGGTTTATCTCTATGCTGAATTTATATGAATGTTTTTCTTCCTCTCCTCTCAGTGATGGTTGCACTGACGGCACCATGGCCTCCAGCTCAAATGACTCTCACTACAGCGGCTCTCGTGTGGAGACTCCAGTGTCTTATATGGGTGATGATGACGACGACGAAGAGTACGACGAGAACGAGGACGAGGACTAAAATCGTCTATGCCACGCCACTCCAACAAGCACAGCCCCCCCCCCCCCTCCCCCCACCTTTATTGTGGGAATTTAGGTCCCCCTTTTTTTGTGTGTGTGCTTCTCAAACCTTTCCCCCCGTTCCCCCCCCGTCCCCCCTCCCCATGCCTGTATTTCTGTCCGGCTTTCTCAGGGGTGTAGATGATGTTGAAAGAACAGAGGTGTGCATGGCACCCATCTTTTTTCTGCTCCTGAATCACGTGCACCTGCACCACCACCACCGCTCTGGGGGAGGCGTCGTCCAAGGGAACTGTAATCTGTCGGCCCGGCGCACCACGCTCAAGTCTTTGTATGTCTAATCCACGTCTCAATAAGCCATCCCACTCTAAAGAAAAAGAAAAACAAACCTCAGTAAAACGTACTGCTGTTGGAGAATGTATTATGTACCTGTTTGAATAGTTATTTCCTATTACTTTGCGATGACAAAGCGGCAGACATGACGAGGATCAAAATGTTCAAAGATGGCCAAAAGTGTCTGCTTTAACATGCCCTGTTAGTGCATTTACCATGGTTTCTGAAATGCCTGATACAGTTGTCATGGCAACACAGGATGGGGCTCCATCAGGTGTGTTGATGAATTTTTTTGTTTTGTGTTCTGGGCAATAATTTGAAATAGTTTCTTATCCTCTATTGTGTTGGGCTGGCTTCCTTCTGTTCTGTAGGCAGCCATGTTTTCCTGATTTATTTTTTTTGCTAGAGTTTTTCTTTTTTTTTTTTTTGTATTCTGGATTTAAAAGGACTTCTCCATCACCACCCTGATAACGCCTTGGTTAGTGTTTACAGAATAATGGCACCAGCAAGGTAAAGACTTTTATAACCCAGGCTCCTTCTAGGTAAATAAGCTTTGTTTGTGAATTACGTATATGAACCCTACGACGATTGTAGCTTATAGTATCCTTTTAGAGGCCAGTGGTAAAAGATAGACCTTCAAAATTTATCGATGTAAAAAATAAATGTGTGGTTGCATAGGTCTTTATGTACTCCCTTTAAAGATCTCCCTTTTAAAAACTCAGCAACACATGTACTGACTCTTCCAAATACCTTTTTCTGTAATCTAATATAAGTTTGCAAAAATAAATATAGATTGTTTTAATAACTTGATTCTATAATTGATGGGTTTTCAAGCTGAAAAAAACAATTGACTTACTTTTGTCAGTCACAAAACGGATTTTATTATGCAAGAGACCAGGTTTAAAAAAAAAAGGAACCACAAGTCTCAAAGAGTTCGGGGTCCTCAAAACTGAAATTTTTGAAAGAGCTCAGGGATCGAGTCTGTCTCCAGTCAGACCTGTGAGTGCTCTGAATCAGTGGTTGTCGGAGTAGAGCCACGACAAAGTCGATGCTCAACGCAGAGGAGAGAGAGATGAGGTGAGTTCAACATTTTTAACTCTTTTCCTTACTACATCATTTGTCTTATATTGCTCTTTTTTCATATGTCTAATATCATTTAAAGAGAAACTTATCTTAGAAAAGGGTTTACAAAAGCAGCCGTTGATATTCAGACTGCGGCTCTTTCTTTGATGAGGTTTGCGTGACCAAATGTTTTTGACATGGAGAACCGATAAGAGCCTGAATGAAGCACATGCTGTAGGCACTGCAACACTTGGAAGTTTTTTTTTTTTTTTTTTAGTTTCTACCTAACAAGACTGATCTTCAGCAGCCAAAACATGTTCCAGTGTGGCATTAAGCCCACTTTCCCCCTCTCAAAATCTCCAATTAAAAAGGAATGCTTCACAATCCTTAAGCAAAAGGTGAAAGGTTTTTCTTTGTTATTTTTGAAAAGAGAGATTCTCATGGAAGTGTAAGCCCAAATACACTCTTATTTATGAGTCAATTATTTTAAATCTTAAGCTAAATCTAATAGCAGAGACTTTAGCGGTCTGAGTCAATTCAAGTGGATGGAAGCAGGATTTAAATGATGTCTGGCATGTGCTAAAGGATTACTGCTTTCTGTCCACAGATCCAATGTAGTCCACATAAAGAGGGGGTCTTTCAAAGCTAAATTAAGTACCCACTAAATGAATCATTGCTGATTTCATGTCTAAGCACTGAAATAAAAAAAACAAATCATTAATATGGTTATTAAGACTAACATTGGAAGATAATCACTGTATTCTTTTCCTGTAAAAGAAGCTGGATATCCGGCTGCCTTCGCACAGCAAGCCTTAATTTCTACTTAGATTTTATTTATTTTTTGTCTGGCTGTTTACTTTTTAAATGTGGTCTGTATCCAACTCCTCTGGAAATCCACAAATGAAAGTGGCCAAAATCTGATTTGAAAATAAAAATCAGATTTTTGCTGTTCACATTGTCATTAAAAAAAAATCTTAACTGAGTCACAGGACTGAAAAACTGTTCCGGGTAACTCTTCCATGCAGTGTGAATCAGCCCAAGTTTCTCATTTTAAACAGAATACGGGCTGGACATGATGAATCACTTGGTATGTCAGTATTATTTTGAAATATGACACACAGTTTTGTATGCTTAAGATTATAATATATTGTAATATAATCACATGTAGCTTAAAAAACAAACAAGTATTTAGATTATCCATGGGGCATCATTGTGGATCACAAACAGGATTCCTTTCACCTGCACTTAGCTTTTAATATCCACTAACTTCTTAATCAACCAAACAATCATGTAGTGTCTGAATAATCCAAATATTGAAAACCCCACTGAGGAAATTCACTTGATCCCTCATTTGAAAGTCAGAAACTGATACAGGAGTTGTGGCTTTCAGGTCACATTTTCAGAAATATGGACGACAGTATAATGGTGTGAAGTAAATTCGGTGTTTAAGCTAAAACATTTTTGCAAATGTATAAACACTTGTGGTGCACAACAATGGCATTTGGTTGTAGCCATTGCTGCTGTCTATGCAGGCTTACCAAGATTAGAATATGTATTTGCATTTACCCTGATGAAGAGTTAGGTTAGGCCAGTGCTTCCCCTGGTGGGCCGTATGGGTACTGCAGGTGGGCCGCGAAAAGCCCTCCACCAATTTTAAAAATAAAATAAATATCCCAATAATGGTGACTTACCACGAATTACCCTTTAAGTGATTAAGAAGGTCTGTCATGACTATTCATGGACATAATGTTTAGTAAACTTGTGTCTCTCTTGCCACAATATCATGTTGTAATGTCCAATCATTTTACCCTTACTGGAAGTTATACATGTAGTCATTTTTTATTTTATTTTCTTCATAATGGGCCCCGGCCTAATTTTGTATTTCAAAGGGGGCCGCGGCAGTCTTAAGTTTGGGAAAGGCTGGGTTAGGCAATATTTTAGTATTTTTAGCTACTGGTGCAACAAGTTCTGGGGAAACCAAACCCCCCGATATTCTCCAATTCTGAAAAAAAAATCTTTCAGCAAAGTTTTCTTCCACATCAAAGTCTCTTATTGTGATGTCCGACTTGATTGAGCGGCTCCAGCTGCCTGTGCTGGGCTCGCACACTTTGTCCAGGGCATTAGGGTGTTAATGGATTATCAAAAGGTGTCGACTCAGGTGTGAGTGGTATGAGGGGTTGGTACGGAGTCCTTGGATCTGACTCAAACAACAGACTCGAGGTCTCTTGTCTTTCATGCTCCCTGTGATCTATCCCCTGTTTTCTCACCTCTGCTTCCCACCTCAATCATCCTCGACCAATGAGAATTTTGCATTAAGGATTTACCTTTTGCTCTTTTTGTCTTTTTTTTTTTTGCAATGTCCCCTCTTTGCGTTGCCTAACAGTCGCACACTTTCGACATGGACATAGGAGGTCTGACCACGGTGGTAGCAAACTCTGCTTACATCAACGCCCGGGGCAGCATCGATGGGTCTAACCCTGCAGCGGCTCGAGATAAGAAGTACCACTCTCGCCTCAAACTGCCCCACATCACCGTGTGCGAGGGCCTGGCAGAGACCGTGGATTTGTCCTTTGAGTCGGTCTGCGTGGATCAACCCATCGGCAAACGCCTCTTTAGAGAATTCTTAAACGCCAATAAAGAGTATAATGGAGCTAGTCGCTTATGGAGAGACATCGAAGACTACGACATGGCCGAGGATTCTGAGCGGGCGAAGAAGGCCTCGAAGATCATCCAGCGGTACATGGACGCCGCCGCCAAACACTACTGCCCCTTCCTGTCCGAGGACATCGTAGCTAAGGTGAAGGAAGGCCAGGAGACCGTAGGGGACGATTTGTTCGCCGCAGCGTTGGCCACCACTTTGGATTTCCTACGAGAAGCCCCCTACACGTTCTTCCTGGAGAGCATGTATGTGAAGAGGTTCCTGCAGTGGAAGTGGCTGGAGATGCAGCCCATGGACGCGGACTGGTTCCAGGACTTCCGCGTTCTGGGGAAAGGTGGGTTCGGGGAGGTTTCTGCCTGTCAGATGAAAGCCACGGGGAAACTGTACGCGTGTAAGAAACTCAACAAGAAGAGGCTGAAGAAGAGGAAAGGCTATGAGGTGAGAGAGCTTTGGGTTTTTTTCCCACTATTGCAGGTTGTTTTACTTCATTACAAGTTGTTTTATTTCATCACATATTTTGTTCATCCTGGCACATTTTAATATGTAATTTTTTAAACATGCAAGAATACATACAACATGAAATAAAATAAAAATAAATAAAAATCCAAAGAAAAGCTTCAAAGAGAGAAAAGATAATTAAATTAAGATTTAGAACGAAAAAATAATACTAATAAATAAAAAAAATAATACAATTAAATAAAACTGTAAATAGAAACCCCCGTCTATTAATGCATGGAAGTTAACAGTGGAAGATATTCAAGAAATGGAAAGAATTACATATAGGCTAAGAAACAGAGAAGATGAATTCATGTGTTACTGGAGTAAATGGATAAAGGAAACGGATAAAGTGGAATAATAAGAGGTATGTAAATTGAATTATATTAAATTAAGAGAGTAGTGAAGGAATGCCCCATTCTGTTTACGAGAGAACAATTTTTCAATCTTCTATAACCGTGCTGTTCTTCGATGAGAGGCCAGCATGGTTTTTACGTCTATACCGTCCTTTTTTTTAAAAATAGAAATGTCTTATTAGAAATCAGAATCAGAATTTACACATACAAGGAATGTGACTTGGTGTATTGGTGCTAAACAATTAACAAGGAAATAAAGCAGAACTAGCAACAACTTAAATAAAACAGTGTAAGAAGATATTACAATATATAAAATACAATTTAAAAATGTAAAATATAAAAAAAAACCACAAAATGTACAAAAGGTGAAATGTAGGAGCTGTGCAGTGGACAATGAGAATATGTGACCAAACATATCAAGTTTGAATTTTGAGAACCCGTTAAGGGACAAAATGGATAAAAAGGCTGCAAGCTCGGGCCTCCTTCATACGAAAATACTATGTTTTAAGTTTCTGACATATTGAATAATAACAATAATAATACATTTTATTTAAAGGCGCCTTTCAAAAGCCTTAAGGTCACCTTACAGAGCAGAGATAAAAACAACAAAGTAACAACACAACCATAAAACTAACATTAAAAACATAAAAAAACACAAACGTACAGGATGTAAAGGAGTTATGAGACCAGGTGGAGAATGATCATGCTGAATATGCCAGTTTAAAGTGTATTATATTATATTAAATTATTATATTAGCACCTTGATTGTCAAACGTTCAGTGAATATAATCTGAACAGACAAATACAATTGAATCAATGCAAACCAGAACTCTTCTGTAAGATAATTTGGATGGCCCTTTCTCTACAACAGGAAGTAGTAGTAAACGCTATTGTCTCGTTTCCTTGCAGGAGACTTCAGGGAAACACAAAGCTCTTTTAAACGCTACACATGCACAACATGATTAATAAAAAGGTGTTCTGCTGGCTTTATGTTCCAGAGTGAGTGCCCTGCCTGCGATGGTGCTAATCATCTTTATCCCTGCCTCTGTCTCGTTTGGCTTTAGCCTGCAGTATTAAACACTGAGACGGGGGATAGAGTGATTACAGGGAGCTTTAGAGGGAAAGCTCTGCTGAATTGAACTTCTTGGCACAGCTACATCTTGCCCTTGAATTGTCTGAGGTCATTCTTTGAAATGTGCTTTTTTTTTTTCTCCATCTGGAATGTGCATCTGCATATTTTCTTCAAACACACAGAAAAAAAAGTATCCATAGTTTTACATCTTGTTATAAGCTGCCTTTTCTGTCTTTCTTCATTTCCTCCTGTAGGGGGCGATGGTGGAGAAGAGGATTCTTGAGAAGGTTCACAGTCGCTTCATTGTGTCATTGGCCTACGCCTTCCAGACAAAAGATGAACTTTGTCTGGTCATGACCATCATGAATGGAGGAGACCTCAAGTAACCTTTACACTCTGAAAACATCCAGTGCAATACCATGAACAGTCACTTCTATACAGCTTACTGATACATTGCTGATTGCAGTGTGTCTCATTTGAGGACTGAATAATTTTACTCTCAAAATCTGAATCCAAAGTCAACTATGACTCCACCTTTGATTCATTTATCCTTTCTATAATATGTCACACATTTTCCCTCAGTTGTTCCTAATATGGAGTTCTCACAGTTGGATAAAATTATAAGCACAGTTGGTTTCTTGTCATAGCTGAACTATAGTGTTCAGTGTTTATTCTTTTTTTTCTTATTTATGTTTAAAGGCTTTATATGTGATTTTTTGATCCAGCAGATGTCGCCCTTGAGCACCAGCATGAAACCAAAACAACTCGCACTGCATTGTTGTGTTAGCATGCTAATGCTAGCGATCTTTATTATGCTGGTATCTTCACACTGCATGTAAATTTACCTGAAATGAGCGTGATCTAGAAACACAGTTAAGCAGTGAGTACAGTATGTTATTCTTCTTTTCTCTAGTCCCTCAATTAAACAACTTTTATACACGAGGGGAGGAGTCAGCCGGCCGTCCGGGCGATGTAAACAAAGTGAAGATAGAACTCTGAAAACTCTGAAAACATCACAGACAGTGGGACTCGGGTGTTACACCCATTGTAGACAGTCATGACTCACAGAGTTATTTTCAGAGGATAGACTTGATTTCTATATTTAAGTGTGAAAAATCACAAATAAAGACTTTAAACATTGTCACTTACAATAAAGGAAAAACAATATGTTGTGGTTTTAACAACAGCCCACAAATATACAGGAGAGGTGAATCATATACATAATTCCTTACACAATACATTTCAAAAGAAGGGATGAAAACAATGAAAAAGACAAAAGGGGCAAACAAAGATTGAATCATCTCTCTCCCCTGGATTACCACAGCACAGAAAGTATACAAATAAGTAAAGATGATAATGGCAATGAGGTGTTTGATGATTTCAGTGTTTATTCTTAAAAGACAGGAATACAAATTAGTTACAATCAAAAAAAACAGCGGTTAAAACTGTTGCATTGTGAAAACTTCAGCTTTATTGAAGACTTCCATTCAAATGACTGCCTAATGACAATAACAGGTAGTGTAGTCTGAGAAACATATCTAAGCCGATGTAACATATTTTGAAGTTATAATTGTGAGATTAAATGCAGACTACATATATATGCATGCTGCGAGATCAAAAGGCTCAGCTCTGCTCTGTTCCCTGAAGGTACCACATCTACCTGGTGGATGAGAACAATCCTGGGTTTGAAGAGCCCAGAGCTTGTTTCTACATCGCTCAGATCATCCAAGGCATGGAGCACCTCCACCAGAAAAGAATCGTCTACCGAGATCTCAAACCAGAAAATGTGCTGCTGGATAATGATGGTAACGATCATTTAAAAAGAAAAAAAGTAGTACGAAACAACAAGTCTATATTTGATATGTTTATCGCTTTACGTTTTGGACAGAAAACCCAAGCTTTACCACCTTGGTAAAATGGAAAATATTTTAAAACACACTGACGCCTCATTTTTAAGATTATCAATGACGAGGCTCCTCCACCACTCTGCACTTTTCAACAGCAGAACCACAAGGTCTGCCCTAAGAGGGGGCTGTGTTGTCCCTCTTAGGTCCAGCTCCTTTGGTCAATTATGTTTCTCTGTGAGAGCCTCTAAATCAGGGGTGTCCAAAGTGCGGCCCGAGGGCCATTTGCGGCCCTTGGTGGGATTTTTTGCGGCCCGTGACTTCAAATGAAGAATCAGAAGATTTTTGCCCTAGGCCTTGATTTAGATTGGCACAATATCTAATTTTTCTTTATCATGTTAACAAGGGCTGAATAATATTCCTAAAATAGAAAATGTTTAGTAACATGTATGTTGTTTTTTTTTTTTAATCTACAGCTTTTACTATTTTCCACATTTTTGGTAAACTAAGAAAAAAAAACTGACCTGAGCTAAATGCAGAAAGCTTTTCCAATAAAATGAACCACGTTACAGG